TTCTCTCGCGTTGAAGGTTCACGCGAGCATGCAGAACCTTTTGAACGAACGCAGCATCCTTGAAACGTAATTCCAGCCGTTCCACTGACATTTTCCGCGGATGTATTTTTACTACAGATTACGTAATTGTGTGTGTGTATATGTGTGTGGATCTGGCCAGCCAACAGATCTTACGCGAAAGGGATGATGATGCCGTCAATATCGTCGTCGCTGTCGGGGAAGCTCGCGCACATCCGCGTGGGCGGGAAAGGGTTAAAGTTGAAATTAGACGCCTTTGGCTGCTGAACTTTGCTGATCATTCGCATGATCATTCGCATGAGGCAATATGTGACGTTCCTGGAACCAGGTGCGTCCTCCGCGTAGCGAAGCGTGACGCTCCGCTAATGTTGACACTGTCAACATTAGCCCTTAAAGGGAATCACCAGTGAGAATTTAAAGGACGATTTCACTTCGTTGCTGCTGCAACTACGGCGTAGCTCGCTCTCGACTGAACAATCAGAACAATTAGGCAAACAACGAGCGATGCGAGGGAGATTTCGCAGGAGGGCGGCAGAATCTCGTTCCTCGCTTTCGTGCAGGCTGTGTTGGATCTCCTCGAGATTAAGATCGCTGAATTCCTCCTTTCTACCTTCTCGAAGTAATAACTGGGGGAGAAGCTGCATTTTATTTAGAAATGAGATATACTCTGCAGCGAATTTCGTCCTATCTCGCATGCAGAACTCGGATGTTCTACGAAAGATCGCCGACAATCGAAAGAAAACCTGCTTTTTATTTAGCAGTGGGATATATTGCAGCGCGAATTTCTCTCCATCTCGTATTTAGAGCTGGAATGCTCCACGAGAGACGGCTGCTGAGAAAGGAAAGTCAATATGAATTTATTCCGCGGAATTCCGAGTCTCATAAGTTTCTGAAATTAGCGTAGTCATCTTGAAATTTGCCAAACTCCCTCTTCCTCTCAGTAATTCTGCTGACATTCTTTATCGAGTGTTCAATGAAAGAGGCAAAGAAGTCCCTTCACATAAAGGTTGCGCATAATTAGAATTCGAACTGAAGATTATAAAGTAGTTTTCTCTTTGGTTCGCGGCACACTGACACATTTCGGAGTGACGCAAGGACGCTGGGGATTGAAAAGGATGAAGGATAGCCCGATGATCCCGATTCATGATTAAAGAGAAGACTCTCGTCATTGATATTTATCGACAGCGTATTTATAGCAAAATTGCGGCTACTGGATGCCCCCTCTCGATACCCTATAAACTTTTATTTAAACCGTCTTTTTCTAAAATCAATACTTTGAGCGAAATTAATCCGCCACGCTTTACGGGCCTCACCCTGTACACGGGCTCGGCCGGTCGGTCTTGCTCGCAGTTTCTCAACCTTCAAAGGTCTCCACCGATGACATATCGGGACTAGCGCTCAGCCGTATTTCCCATAAATGCACGGAACCTTTTCCTATCTCCGTGTATAAGCCAAGCGTTGACGTCCCATGATCTCGTTTATGTGCCCCTATAATAGGCAGGCGGATCACCGGTGTATCTTGTGTGTGAGAATATTTGTAGCCGCGGATTTGTGTCGAGCAGCCGGAATATCCAGCGAGAATATTATTAGAATATCTAGCAAGAATATTATTAGAGATATACGCCTAACATATCAGTTGAGCAGCTATTATTTTGTTATTTTATCATTTCGTTTTTACTTTGCTATTATTTTGTTACTTGTGTGTATTTTTTTCTTTATTGATAAAATATTGTATCTCAAAATTGTTGCACTACACATGTAGGAGATTGATTGCGCGAAATTGAGCACACTCGTGGACGAAGCTGCACACCGAATACGCGTGATCACTTCGTGAGAAGATCGTATTGTGCATCCGTTTAATGCGACAAGTTTGAGTATCGTCGAGCATGTGAATGGCTTATAAATAGCTCCAAAATGCCACGGCGCTTTCCCCGCGGCAAAAATCCCTCGTACGCGCGTTACACTCGAAGTGAACATCTCGAAATCTTTTTTAGATCGCTCGCGACGAAAGTCTTCCCGTGAAGATCATGTCGTATGGCTGCGTGTTGGAACGTTTAAATATCATAATACGAACACCTTTCAATAATTTTTCGAGAGAAATTTATTCTTCATAGAAACGCGAAATAATCGCCTCTTTCGACGGAGACATCTCCGCACGAGTTAATCTGTCGGCAAAAGTTTGATTGAAGTTCTGTTTTCGCTTTTTTGTCTTTTTTTCTCGCAAATTATGGAACGTAGCGCATCACAGTCAAGATGAAATGTTTGAGGGAAAAGTCACGTTTTTCACGTTCAATTTCTATGAGCGAAATTATTGCCTCGAAAGTCTCCCTGCGAAGATCATGTATCAATGACAGCAGTGCGTTGTCATTGCAAATTTTAAATATCATGATAACTGACATCTTCCAATAATTTCAAGAGAAATCGATTCCTCACGGACATAAGAAATAATCATCTTTCCCGACGGAAACAATATTTCCTCGCGGATTAATTTGACGACAGAAGTTTGAGGTTCTGTTTTCGCTTTTCTTTTTCTTTCTTTTTTATTCGCAAATTATGGAACGTGTTACGGCAGAGGTGAAATACTTGGGAGGAAAAAAGTCGCGTTTTCCTTCTCCGATTGCTCTGAGGCCGAAATTATTGCCCTTGCGGCGGATGAAACGTCACGTTGGAAGAGACGACGTTGGAAAAGCGGCGTTCTATGAATGGAGGCGAGCCTCGGATCAGTCGGCAAGCAAGGCCGACTAATTATAGCGTTAGTATCTCTCAACTTCGTTTTGTACATTAACCATGCACCGGCCACATACACACACACATACACACATAGCGATAGACACGTATATGCGCGCACGCGCGCGAGCCCGACCACACGCGTGTACATTATGGAACGTTTAGTGTCGAGATTATGGTCCGACGATGGAGGACATGACCCATTTTGATCGTCGTCGTCGTCGTCATCGTCGGCAAACGCGTCGCGGGGATGCGAATTCAGGACGGCGTACGTGCGTCACGTTTACCCTTGTCCTGCTGTCGACACCTGGCATCTCGTACAACGTCCGCCGACAAATTACGCAGAGAAGCGAACTTACGCGCGATCCCCGAGCTTTATTGAACAAATAAGTCAGATACCAGAGCGGGATCGCCCGCGAGCTAAGCTAAAACGTATACGCGTCGTTAATTCCGCGAGATTAAACAGATCGAGTGTTGAGAAACGATTTTTTCATGTACAAACTGAGAGAAAACAATATTTAAGAAATAAAAATATGATAACATATTCACTTATATATAAAATATTTTTTTAATAAGAAAATACGTTTCTTCAAAGTCATAAGAGCAATTGTTTATTGTATTTAAATAAGAAAAATTTATATGCAAGTTAAGTGAATGTGTTATTAGCACCCATTGCGAATAAATATTTTGTATTTCTTTAGATATTTTTTCTCTCAGTCTGTATTTCTTTGGATTCTTCAACATTTCTGACACATTGGGATGAACGGAATGCGTCAATCGAAGTTGAGGCTTTTAGAAACACAGGATTTGTCTAAATTTTCAAAACGGTGATTCAATATCTCAGTCGGGAAGTTCGCTTCGCGAAAGAACTTCAATGTTTTATCATGTTTAATTCCTGGGCTATCTAGATATTTCGATTGTATAAGAAAAAAGAGAATTTAACGATAAAAAATTGAGTTTAAATATCGGCTGAGAGATGTAACACCGAAAGCGTGACCTCTCTCTACATTGAGAGATAGCGGACCGCTACAATTTGTCATACTCTGTTAACGAAATGGACTTAGGAAGGGATCGGCAAACTGTGGCGACAAAGTAGTCATCTCTTGAAATTGAAATACGAGAGATATTTTTACATAACGCGTGTCCCTGTTGCGACAATCCAATGGCGAATTATTCCGTGCTCCATAGTGTGCGAAGGCGCGGGAAAACACTTAGGAAGGTACAATTAAACTAAAAGTGTAACTCGCTGGTGACACCGTAAACAGACAAGGTCGCGAGCAAACGTAAACGCCGCGTGAAAGTGACCGCGTCACTAATTATCACGATGAAAGAGAGTGGGCGTGTGTACGCGCGAGTGAAATTACATTCATAGGTCGTACTATTGTGGAAGTTGAGCAAACGCGCCGACAACGTCCGCCAGGATGCGTCAGCTCCAAGTTTCCGAATAACTAATTGATAGTAATTCTCTGCGTCTCTCAAGCGCACATCCTTTAGTCGAATTAAAATGAAAATATCCATTTAGCTCGCTGAGATGCGCTCCAATTTTCAATGTTATTCAGCATATCTTAATTTGTGACGAGTGACGATGTGTGTGTGTGTGTGTGTGTGTGTGTGTATAGTTCGTTAAATAGTAAAGGCCCTTGCACAATGCCAGGCTACAGGCAATAGAAATAAATATTTGCCAATAAGAACAGGGAATAGAAATAATTTACCAATTCGAATTCCTATTCCTATTGCCTGTTGCCTGGCATTCTGCAAAGACCTTAATAGTGCTTTATACGTTCGCGAGATTTTACGAGGGTACATAGAAAGCTGCACGCCTAACAAATTAGTTGAGCAACTATTTTTTTGGTTATTTTTATCATTTAGTGTTTACTTTATCATTATTTTCTATTTTTTGTATTTATTAATATCGAAATATTATTGCACTATATAATATATAAAAGATTGATTATGCGAAATTGAGCACACTTGCGGACGAAGCTGTACGCCGAATAAGCGTGATCTTTAGGCGAGAGAATCGTATTGTGTTGACGATAATGTATGGACTCTAAATCCGGAAATAATATGAACGTGAGCCAATGATTATTCTGTGTCATGAGAACAAAGCAAGCACGAGTGGCGCTCCAATTTCCTCGTGCGATCTCAATAGAGACATCGCGTGTGAGACTCGTTATACTTCTACAAATTCTCTTTCCCGAAATCTTGCCCGCAATGCGCGGAGGATTGTATATGGGATCTTGTACAAATGTACGTTCGATAAATGTACTTTTATTTTCTTCCTCTCTACATTATATTCGCACTAGGTAGCCCTGTGCTGTATGAGATATTTCTGGCTCGAGTGTAATTGTGTATATTAGCGCCTTTACGTAAACATGACGTATATACTACGTGTACGTAGCAAAAAATAGATAAATCGTAGTTGCGCAAGTACAGATCGTTATAATTATCGACATTAATTATTATAAGATGCAAAACAGAAAGAAATGCTGAAATCTTAATAACAATTACAATTGCTTGCATATGTGTGTGTATGTGAAACTGATAATACTTGATTTACTTTCATTGCGGATATATTTTCGACAGATTTTATGGACGTAGAACGAAACGTACTGACATATAATATTAATTTCAAGTTATTTAGGCGTTGCGGAATTGTATTGTGCGGTGTTATATCGAAAAAAGAAATTTTAAATATATTTTACCGTATATAAAATTCGAATACCGTTTGAAATATATTTCACTGTGAAAAAGAAAAGATTTTCACACTTTTAGTGAACGTTGAACAACTATTTTACACTATCGTTAGCCCATTTCGTTAAAACGCTACATTAACTTTTTTCAAAAAATGACATGGAACAGAAACTTCTTAAAAGTATTTTTCAAGAGAATCCTTTAGTTTGTGCGGATCCACGTTAGGACCGTGTCGTTCGACGACCTTGCCTTCTTTATCCACGATAAACTTGGTGAAGTTCCATTTTATGAAGTTACCCAGTAAACCACCTTGCTCCTTCTTCAAATACGACCAAAGCGGATGCGTCTTGTCGCCGTTCACATCTATTTTCTCGAACAAATCAAACTTTACCTGCAAAGATATCGTATGTGTGTTAGAGATAGATTTATTTGTTTATAGAGGAAGCAAAATCGTATTATGATACAAAGGGGAAATTACTTTCTGGCGGTCAGCGAAACTGCAAATCTCCTCGCTGCTTCCTGGCTCTTGCCCGTTGAACTGGTTGCAGGGAAACGCCAAAATTCGTAGTCCTGGAGAAAGAAAGAGAGAGAAAACTCATTTAAACAGATCCCTTTGTTGGAACAACTCGCGACATTTTACACCGCACGAATATTACCTTTGGATTCGGCGTACTCGTCATACAGTTCGTTTAGCTCTTTGTAATTGGTCGCTGTAAGACCGCACTTCGAAGCGACGTTCACGATTACGCACACGTGGCCTTTGTACCTGACCGACAACAGACGTTATTGCATTTTTGTGACAAATACGATATTCGAGATCTGACACGAGGCTGTACTCACTTGGACAAAGGGACTTCCTCGCCCTTGATGGAGTTGGCCGTAAAGTCGTAAATCGACGTAGCCGATTTGTAATCCTGATTCCCACTCATCGTTGCTGCAACTGTGCGAATTGCGATCGTTAGCATTGGCGGATGATCAAGGGACACGCCGTGGAGTGTCGCGGCTGGGAGGTAATTGATTTTGCAAGTCGCGCATGTCAATTCGATTATTATCGTTTAGCAACGAATTCGTGAATGGAATATCGTGCAGGAACATTTATTTCGCGATCCGTCGTTAATTCGTCTTCTACGTCTACGTCTACGTTAGTCAATGCAACCTGCAATTTTCAAAGAACAATAGCGAATTTCCCAAGCGCTTTGTAAGTTACTCAAGTAAACTAGAGACAAATAATCGCACTCAAACATCACAAACTTCGCGGAAAAGTGTTTAGCTCGAAGAGTCAGACGCGAGAATACTCCTGGCTTATTGTCTACGTTAAAAGAGTTGTGTATATTAATGCATGTGCACTGAGAGAAAAAATATCCGAAAGATAAGAAATATTTATTCGGTAGATACTGTTAACATATTTACTTAAATCTTTTTACTCAAATATAACAAATACTTTCGTGAGAAGCTAAAGTCTTGAGAAAATTTTAGGAAAATCTATATTTTTTTATATTTTCCGTATATTTTCTTTCATAAAAAAATATATTTTTCTATGAGAAATATTTTATATGTATATATTTTATATGTATATATTTTATATGTATATATTTTATATGAGAATTATTTTTCTATGAGAAATATTTTATATGTATATATTTTATATGTATGAGAAATATTTTATAAGTAAATATGTTATCAATACACACCTAATAAATATTTTTTTATTTCTCAGATATTTTTTCTATTACATAATATACGTGAGAATCGCCTTCGAAACACATTGCAGTTATTTTCAATCGTACAAACATAATAAGTGCGTTACGCGTAAATAACACTGAATAATCCTTGATACTTCGACGCTCTTAATTTCACAAATCATCGAAATGAAATACAAATGATGCGAATAAACTATTACGATGCGAGCGGAAAAAGGTGTCTGGAAAATTGCCCATCTCCTTATACTGTCTCCTCGAGTGCAATGTCGAGTACTCGGATATCTTATTTAGGAATGAACTGTTTGTGCATCGTGTTGATTATTAATCTACAAGCATTTTTATGCGGCACTTGTCATCATGCACAGAAATAATTGCGCATCGTTTCGACGGCGATCGATTATTTATAACAGCTTAACATTCATTGCTGACGGGGGTCAGAGGGGTGGATGGGTTATGTTGCGACAATCCTGAAATTACGTGCCTGCGAAATTTCGTACTATGTGCACGAGGCCGATGGGTAGGATGAATCTTAAAACGAGCATTTCCGGCGTACCGCGCGAATCCGCTCCTGGAACTGTCGATACAAGAGATAGTGTGCTATAGTGTGCTATAGTGTTCAAGCCTTATTCAAGTACGAAAACAACATGAAAAATTTACGGAGCTATCGAGCACGCCAGCCAGCTGGTCGTTTTTTTTCTTCCGCATGAATGTGTGTTATCGGTGTTCACGACGTTTTATAGAGCGTACGCGAGTCGAGACCTTTTATTATCGCGACTCGAGATAATAGTTTGGCGATTAAAACGACAGCCTATACAATTTTGGTTGTAAACGGCATGAAATATTTCGTTTCCCGGAACACACATACGAAGAAAGATTACAATTAATTATTATAACGAATTGTCGAAGCAGTTGGCTGTTGCGAAAGAAATCAACTTTATTGGTGTTATCAGAATTCACATATCGTGTGAGCGTCACGAGACGATTAACCAGAAGCGCTTGATTGTAGATAATTTAGCGGAAACATAGATTTGTTTCAAATGTATCGTGAAATTTAGGATTAAATATGTTGAGGATTATAATGGGAATCATAATCGCTCAAGTGCGACCGATTTTCGTTAATTTATAGACGCGCAAGCAAATCGCAAAACGATGAAACGGCTGTGCGCGGGTGGACTCGTGAATTGTCAATGAAACGTGATGATTGGCGATTTAGTGTCGCGCAATGTCATCGGATCTTGCGTAAATCGATGAGAGTGTCCGCGCTCGCACGAGTAAAAAACTGTTTCTAAGGTCAATTTTATACAATGCCGTGAAATTCTATATCTTTTAGACGGAGGAACGAAAACTGACGCAACTTTGTCTTTTTTGTGTATTTTGTTGATCTCATATTTCGTTTCCGGAAATTATTTCAAAGATTTTTGCTTATTTTGTTTTGACATGAGCGAATATGAATCAATTTAAAAAAATTGTTCACACTTATGATCGGAAGACATAACGTTCATAATTGTTATATTTTTCTCATAAAAACGTTGTGATTTTTCTTCATTTTTCATATTTATAAACGAAAAACAACATTTTTAATTGTTAGATTCTTTTCATAGAAACATTACAAATTTCACGTGCAATTAATTTCGTTTTAGCATGAATGATTATAAATTTCTCTTCATTCCTCACAATATCGATAGACACAACATTCTTAATGGTTAGATTTTTCTAATAGAAACTTTGTGATTCGCACGCTCGGATTGGACTTGGCGTACAATCGTTTACGAGTGATCTTCTTTCTGCCGGACGCTGTGCACGCTCGATGTCGGTTAATTAAAGCAACTCTGCTCAATGAATGCTGAAATATCGCGAGTGTATCGGCGTGACACGGCGCGCAGATTCTGCAATCGATAGCCATCTACCGTACACTGGCCCAACCTTGAGGAGATCGACCGTGAGATGTACGTGGTTACACGACATTTTCCCGAAATCTAGATGGAAAAATGTTGGTACCGACAAAAACCTCTAAGCAGTACAATTTTAATTTCTGCGGATTAGTGACAGTTTATTATTCGACACATACACACGCATATATCAAAATGACTCCGTAAAATTCATGGACTTGCTACTTCAATAGTGTCACTAATTCGCAGAAATTAGAATTGTTGCTTAGGGGTTTTTGTTGGTACCACCATTTTCCCATCTAGTTTTCGGGAAAATGTGTAACCGTGCAATCAAATGGTGCAAGGTCCGTTCTACGTTGCAAATGCTTCACAGCGTAAGTGGAGCAATACGATTGGTCCGCGGCTCAGAAGCATTCGCAGCGCTAAACGGACTTAACCCGATGTCGAACTGCGGAATATCTGAAGCATCGAATGTCCTCGCGTCATAGAATATCCCGTCGCGTCGGCATTCGCTCGCGTGTACTTCACACGTGTCTCGCGTGTTAACCAGCGGGAATAAAAGAATGACTTTACCTTGTTGAAACTTGGGCGTATGTAGCACGACGAAGACGCACCGCAAGAATGACACGAACGTTAGCAGTCGCTGTTTCACACTGACTAGTCACTCTACATACAAGATGGTTTTCATCGCGCATGTGCACTCCGTGATTATAACGGCGCTCCAATGGCGGATCGAGTCGTTTCGAAGCTTTAGGCGGAATGTTATTTGAAAGGCGTTTCTGTGAAATTGTACAAGGATATTTTTTACATCCGTTTAATTTTCACTACAAAACGTCATTGACGTTGGATCGAGAAGTCAATTCTGTGGAGTAGAAACTGAATTGAAAAATACTGTTATCGAATGTTTACATGATTTGTCTTAAGTGTTAATTAACTAATAACTAATACTATGCATTCACATGTGTGGAGATGTAATGTTATACGTATATGTTTGAAATGAAATAGTTAGAAATTCAATTAACGAATAAATTACAATATAATAGTATGTAAAAATTGTAAAGATTCAATATGCATCTAAACATACTCTACAAAGTAGATGTTTCCATGTTATGCGCAAAGAGCAATCTTTGACTTCTTGATGATTTCTTTTCCAGCACATTGGTACCATGGAAGGTGTTCAGACATGAATTGAATCAAGTCCATCCAATCAGTTCAGGACTGCAGGCGATGGCACTGAAATCGACGATAGATCTGACGTGCAATGACTACATCTCGAACTTTGAATTTGATGTATTTACGAGGTAAGTGTGCAAACGCAATTTTTTATTTACACTTGGAACTATTCAAATGACATATAACAATGTCTAGGTATAGCTTCCGGAATGGAATGACATATAACAATGACATATAACAATGTGTGTTCTAATAATACTGTGGTTTTTAAGATTGTTCCAACCATGGTCGACCCTCTTACGTAATTGGAAAATTCTGGCTGTGACACATCCTGGTTATGTGGCTTTCCTCACGTACGACGAGGTGAAGGCGCGGTTACAAAAATATTGTATTACCAAGCCCGGGAGTTACGTATTTCGATTAAGTTGCACGAGGCTGGGACAATGGGCAATTGGCTACGTCACGTCTGACGGTGATATTCTTCAAACGATACCACACAACAAGAGTCTATGCCAAGCGTTATTGGACGGTTACCGGGAAGGCTTGTGAGTATATTTCGGATAATAGAGCATATTAATTTGGCCGAGCATATCTCAAGATCCGAACGGGTCTTTTATTCCGTCACCGCGTTCTACTCATTCAGCATTTGAGGATACATGCGTAGAAATTGGTTTACAGCTACCTCTATCCGGACGGCAGAAATATAAATCCGGACCTGACGTATGCGGTGCAACCGACGCCGGAGGAGCACATCAAAGTGACAGCGGAGCAGTACGAATTATACTGCGAAATGGGTAGCACATTCCAACTGTGTAAAATCTGCGCCGAGCACGACAAGGACGTGAGGATAGAGCCTTGCGGTCACCTTCTCTGCACTCCATGCCTCACAGCTTGGCAGGTAGCAGTGCATAATCTCGTGCCAATATTTCGTAGATTTATCAGCGCGCGATCAATCGACTCGCACGAAAGATGTTTTCTCACGGTGATGCAATCTGACCAGTTGCACCAATGTTCTTATCTCGTCATGACGTACGATATAGTAACGCGCGTTCGTGAAATCACGTACATAGATCTATGCGTTTAACGTTAACGGACGTTTGATCTGGCTGTTTTGCAGGATTCCGAAGGACAGGGTTGTCCATTTTGTCGAGCTGAAATTAAAGGCACCGAGCAAATCGTCGTGGATCCGTTTGATCCGCGAAGAACACACAGACCCGGAGCGCATTCGGCGTCCGCTAGTAACGCATCGACCCCCACGCGGGATCTCGATCCTGACACCGAGGTATCCGACTAGGAATAGCCATCCACCTTCATTATTAAATGTGTTCTATGTATAACAACATCCCCGCAGTATGCCTCATTCTCAAGAATGCCTCATACATTTCACATGAGATCTCGCGTTTTGTTCTACGGTCGTATTGTACATGTCACGTCATTTTCGTAAGTCTATCGTCTCGATTATTGTGCTACACTTCGTGGCGGGTACGCGCGGTAGTCTTCTTCTTGTTTTCTTTTTTAGACATCTTTTTTAGGCGATATATCGAAGAAGCGTTAATCAGTTCCGAGAATTATCCTCGGGGAAATGTAAAGAAACAAACAAAAGGGACCAAATTGCACAGGGACGTAGATTGTTTATGGTTATGCAGAGTTCGTTGTCTCTTTCCATTTATGTGTTCACAAGATGTCGGATGTAGCATGCCGGCATAATGACGATTGTTCGACCATTAGCCGACTGATCAGCTGTCGCGCATTTTTATCTTTTTTTTTCAACTAACACGTTTGAGAGTTGTTAATGTTATTTGATTACGAATCTCATCGGTAATACGAAGGCTCTCAGGTAAGACTCGCTTCTCTTGCATTTCATTGGAAGCTATAAATCGGTGGCTTAATTGTATGGCCCATGGTCGCCGTGTCATTTCGACTACGTATACGCGGCCTCCGAGCAATTTTATCGTTACTGAATCCGCGCAATAATCCGATAAAGGACTTTTTGTTGGACTCGGACGCGTTTGTACAATGCGTTGATCTGTCAGCCGAACAATGTATTAGGCAATATTGATTCATCCATGAAAAAGAAAGAGGGTTTACTCACTAACGTCTCGCTAAGATATCAGTCTATTTCGGCTCATGAATCTCATAATGCATGTGCATATGCGTATTTAAAAGCGTTCCTCACTCTTTTCTTTTTTTTTTGAAGTATGTGCATACAAAAGATTCGATGCCTGAAGACTCTTACACGTATTTATTTATGCAGATGATTACATATGATTTATAGTCAATGACATGGAATAGCGTGGCTTATGTTGAAAACTAATCAACGCGAAGCGTACAAAGAGGAGAGCTCCGCAACTCCAAACGGAAAATTCCATCATACAACGCACTGTTGAGGCTGCATCTGTAACATTCACTTGCTCGATAGGTCGCAGAGACGAATAAGCACGATTTTGATAAAGCTGAAAGTATTTGCCGACTAAACGGAGACAGTTGTGCGATGAAATTAATTCGCGTTTATCTATACACGATCTACTTCACGATCTGATGCATTATTTAGACACACACCTGTAGCTGTGGACGTCGATATTGTCCCCGACTACTACGGTCTACTTTGAATTGCATATTCGTATTGTTCTTTCTATTATTATTTAACGACAAGATTCATTTAGACATTCGCTATCACATTCACATTTCCAGATTCACTGTGATAACGAATGACGATTTTATTGAGAATAAACAATGTGCTATGATCTGTATATCGAAATCGAGAAGGAACCAAGAGAGAAAGAGAGAGAGAGAGAGAGAGAGAGAGAGAGAGAGAGAGAGAGAGAGAGAGAGAGAGAGAGAGAGAGAGAGAGAGA